TAATTCGCTGCTCCACAGGTAACCAGTGTAGCTCCTTAAGTATATCTCGTTTGTTATTGTATCACACTACTGTTTTAGACAAGGTATTTATACCACGCAAATTTAAGAAAGAATGACCATAACATAAACCACATTTTCTGTAAAGTACACGAGCCATCCTAACCAAATTTGCAAACTGCCTTCCAGGCATCATCTGTAAAAAACCGCTTCAATTTTTCAAATTTGAAAATTTTTAGCTAAAACCGTGGCTCGCAAAATATTTCTCACCTTGCATAAAAAATTTTCAAAAGAAAATTTCAAATTTTTCACAACTTTGCCTATTCCTGCTCATAGGTCCGGCCAAGCCCTTATGGTCATTGGCACCGCAATGGCCGCTAACAATAGCTTATAAATATAGGCGTTTAGTGTTAACTTGTAAAACTCCCTGAAGAAGTTTACGACAGTTAGACGAAACACGTCAGAGATTAAAGATCTTTAACAACTACTGTTCGCACAGCGCTGCTCGCTAGTTTAGTTTTAAATTTTGTCCAAAAAATTGTTTAAAAAATTATTCAAAAATTATTGAAAAAAAAATTATTAAACGTTTGAGTCCATCCAAACCTTGAGCAACTCATCGCGTTTCAATTTAGATAATTGCGTTCCGAAGGCCCACTTTCACTTCGCCTGCTGCCCCACTACTCACCGAAACGAGTTCTGATGATCATTACCCCGGTTCTGAAGGAACATTAAATCAGCGTCTCCTGTGGAATGATTCTTAAGGGAACGCCGGCAATAAGACGACTTCCACGCCACCACGACGAGCATTTCGTAAAGTTTCCGGATTGTCACTGGCCAGTTTACTATCAATAAGTTAATGTCTACGTGGGTCAAACCTGTACCTAACATCCTCGGCACTGGATTAAGAATTCTCTCTTTATTTATTTTCTTTCCTCACCTTTCGATGTTTTTTCGCGTTTTTGTGGTTTTCCTTGTTTATATCTGGTCTTTGTGTTCACCGAACTGTCTCAACAAGGCCAGAAACGCCTTCAGAAGCCTCAACAACGTGTGGAGGTCCTCTCAGTACAGCACCAAGACCAAGCCGAAGATCTACCAAAGCTATGTGATGTCTACTCTACTATACGGCTCTGAATGCTGGAGGATGACAGAGAGCGACATCACCAAGCTGTCAGTCTTCCACACAAAAAACCTCAGGAGAATCCTGCAAACCTTTTGGCCTGACACTATCTCCAACCAGCAGCTACTCGCCCGGTGCAATAAAGACAGCATGGAGAACATCATCATGGGAAGGCGATGGAGATGGATTGGGCACGTCATGAGGAGAGAGCAGGACAACATCACTCGCACAGCCCTTCACTGGATACCTGAAGGAAAGCGCAAGAGAGGAAGACCAAGAAACACCTGGCGCCGAACTGTGGAGTCAGAGCTCAGAAGCTGGCCCGGAACCAACAGACGTGGCGATCCTTCGTAGCCGCCCTACGTGCCACACGGCATAATGGGCATGAGATGAGATCATGTTCGCATAATTTGTTCATAGTCGAATACCCTCGTCTTCCATTTCAACTTAGATGCAATTTTCTGTCTTGCCAATGTTTTCGGTTTTGCTCAAACCCAAAGTTCCAAAAAATCAAAAATTTTGATAGAAAATAATTAAGTGACGATGAAAATAGATGTTGGGCTTTAGTTAATAATTTTTCTTTTCTTCTGAGTTTTTAATTTTTTTTAATAGTATGTTTGTTTTGTTCTGGTTCAATGAACTTATCGAAGTAATCAGTATGCGTATGTATCGAAGATAGGCAAAGCAGTGTGGAGTTGTAGTGCTCTTGAGTCACATTTGGTAATGTATACTAACGCACGGATTGAAAACCTATTCTTATTAATATAAAGTTCTACAAATTGCCTGCCTTTCTGCGATGAATTGACTTAAGCAAGAGAACTGAGCGAATGGATAGACAACTGAACAAAGTTTGTTCGACTGACTGAATGCACTGTTTTAACCCAGGAAACAAATGTCTTTTTAGAAGAGCAACAAGTTCTAATGAGCGAAGGCCATCAGAGTCATCATCTACCAAACAAGACTAATATCGTATGTAAAGAAATAGTTTACAACTTGAAGTGCACAATGGACATCATAGGAATTTCAAGTAACCGATCTCTTCAATGCCTATCATAGGAATTTCAAGTAACCGATCTCTTCAATGGACATCATAGGAATTTCAAGTAACCGATCTCTTCAACCATAATTAGCTTCCTTAAACAAGAATACACTTTGTACCATTTCAACTCTAGATAAAACGTCACTTTGTAGTTGTATCCTGTATACTTTAAAAACTGAATTTTCAACAGCATAGTCAGTTTAAAAAAAAGCAAGGTATTACTCTCGAGGCTTATTGCGGTGAGAAACAATAAAAAAACTTCGAAATTTTTTAGAAAGTTCTTATTTGTAATTGAGCATTGGTCCGTTGCGTGTCTACATCCCTTATTGATCCAACAGCGGTTAGGGATGACAATATGCCTGACGTCGCAGAAGAGCAAGCGCACTCGTCCGTCGCTCTCAATTTCGCTTCATTCCGAAAAAGCAGCTACTGCAAGTCATACTCCAGTCATGACTTCCGAGTTTCTCAGTATTGCTACTTTTGTCTTGATTTTTACAGTTATGTGCTTTGTGATAAAAATCTTCAAGATAGTGAAAAACTCTCAGGCTATAGGGAATGAAACAGCTGCTGTGGAGAACAACTGGGCAAATCAGAGGGCCTTAACAGCAGCGAGGGATTTCGATGATCACTACCCCGGTGGCGAAGGAATTTCATATCAGCGTTTTCTGTGGAATGATAGAATCCTTAGGGGAACACCGGCAATAAGACGACTTCCACGCCACCACGACGAGCGTTTCCATTACCCCAGTGCTGAGGGAATTTCAAATCAGCGTTTTCTGTGAAATGATAGAATCCTTGGGGGAACACCGGCAATAAGACGACTTCCACGCCACAACGACGAGCGTTTCCATTAATGAAGTAAGAAATTGTTTTGTTTTGGTGTCGCAATTTACCCCATGTTTCTCTCGCACCTCTCAGCCTCATTTTAGGCAGAGAAGCAGTTAGCTTGAGCCAAGACAATATATTTTACTTTCTCTTGCTTGAGCGTGTAGTTGACTGAAATCGGCAGCCGACTTTTTCACTACAACTAATAAGAATTCTCTGTTTTTTTAATTTTTTCAATTGTTTTTCTACTGCAATTCTCAATTGCATTGACCCTTTCAACTTTCCTAACCACGAAAGGCCTACTTAGCAATTACAATGCTAAAGTACTGATAGATTATAGAGACGCGTGTCGCAAGCTATTTTGGTTTCACATGATTCACACCATTGCTTCGCTACCTGCTCATTAATTGGACGGAAATATTTTCGAAGTTTAGGTAGAAAAGGCATTGCAAGGGGGGAGGAGGGGAGGGGGGAAGGGAGAGGGCAGGTTGTCTCACCTCAGCAGTTAGGGTAACCCTAGCAGGCGGGATAGAATTGACAAAAGCAGGTGGAGGCAACATTTTTTCAAATTCATGTTGCGATGTAATATTTGCGTTCGACGAAGGAGAACGCATACTAATCGTCTCGTTTTTACGGAAATCACTTTCGAGGGTTTTATGGACCAGTCCCAAAGGGATCGCTCGTGATGCCCTGCAATTTCAGCCACAGGCATTCATGTGCAAATGTTTTCTTGGCCGCCTTGAGCTGAAGACACCGAATTTTTTATTTGACTGTTATATATTTTAAATCAGCGCTCGATTAAGCGCAATTTTTCATTAAAAAACGACGATTTTTTGAAGGTTTGAAATTTCGTATTATCAACTGAGTTGATAACGTAAATTGGCCACCGTAAGGAGTTAAAGCACTGACGTTTCGAGCGTTAGCCATTCGCCAATCGCTCTGTCGAAGGGCTAACGCTCGAAACGTCAGCTTTCAAACTCTTTACGGTGGCTAATCTACGTTATCAACTCAGTTGATAATACGCAATTATCTCGATAATTCAATGTTGTTCGCTCTCGACTGTTCCACGGTGTATGCCACAAGGGAATCATCCTGCCAAGAATAACACGCATAGTGGTAAAAAAAAGCATTTTTAACTTTTCTTGTTGCTGACCAGATGTAAAACAATGAGTACCTCCAACTATTTGCTGTTACTAGTCTCCAGCTCATGGAGCTTGCTGGTCTCCACAAGGATGTCACGCAACGCTCGCCAAAGCTTAGCGTAACATTTCAAAGAACATTTAAAAGGGAGAATATCATGCAGCTGGCCTTAAAATAAGAATTTAAGAAGTTTTTGGTATTCTCTTAGGCATTAAAATGCCTGCATCATCAGATCTTGGAGCCATTCCGTCAGTTAGGCAAGTTTCTCAAGATGCAAGAAAATTCTCTCCAAACTTTTCAGTCTTGTACATATATTAACGAACTCAGAAAGGGTCCAATATTAGGCCAAATTGTCTAGGATGCATCAACTTTGATGCAGTTCCTTTATTTAAGTAGAATTCCTGCCTCTATTCTGACGACCAAAGCGAGACAACAAACCCCCTCAATAAACACCATCTGATACCACAAATTTTCCTTTATTTTTCTTCTCACTTTGAATGACTGTAATTGCTTGTGAACAGGGTATCAATGGCAAATGGTAGAACCCCTGGAAGCAGCGAGAGACGAGCCTCAGAGGGACCTGGCCCTAAACGTGACATAGCTTGTGTCCAGCAGCTTGGCCAGTCACGCCACAGCACAAGTAAGAGCCTGTTGGCGGGGTACCTCTATCTTGGCCTATTCAGTGTCCTTCCCCTTTGATGTTTCCGATGTAGATTCGCGTGCTCGTGACCAAGCAAATTTTATTTTGGTGCCCTTATCTACGATACATGGAGGTGAAGAGTGATATCTGCGTGGTTCCGTTCCAATTCCGGTTACGAGATATAACACCAGATAATTTCCGGAAACCGCCCAAGTGTATTTCGTTACGTTCGCAGTTTTGCTCTTGACCCCATTCCCTCTTGATTAAAACGTCTTTCTTTACCCTCATCTGAAATGCGGCTTTGTGTCTTACGGCTTTGACAAGAAGCTAGTTTAAGGACTGACTTCACCGTACATAGGGGTTTGGCATACAATCCTTTGCCGGCAAGTTAGAGAGTAGTTAACGAAGCCGAACCGTCTCGAAATTTTACGTGCTTATTACAGCAAACTGTGGCGAGACAATGGGCGATCTAATTCCGATGAAACCCCTGAGACATCAAGCTTCTTACGAGAACGTTGACATAAAAAGCGGTGTAGTCATTTTGCCAGACGACCCTGATCACCATTACGATGTACTTCATCAAAACCACAAGCCGATAGCGGGGCCTTCGACTTCGCTCATGACGAGTGCACCCACTAACAACGACAGGCCGAGGGAGACAGCGAACGAATCCAGGAGCCCACCTTCGACTTCTCTTTTCACGAATGGATCCACCACCAACAACAGGCCGAGGAACACTTCGAACGAAGCAAGGAACTCAGCGAACGAGTCCGTCGATTGCACCTCTTCGGAGAGCCACAAGAAAAATCATTCGACGTCAGCAGAGATACATAGAGTCCTTGTAGTGTTTGGATTTGTGTTCGCTTTGATTGCTTTTGTTCTTGTCTTGCTCTTTGCCCTTGGAATGCTGAGCTCTTCAAATTGTCGCCAGAGTTGCCATAAAGAACTTGTACAACCAGTTCAGACTTCCCGAGCAACGCAGGAATTTTTTCTTATAATTAACGAGCTACGGGCAAACATGAGCAATTTAGATGAGGAAATAAAAAGCAGGGATGACATAATCACACAACTTCAAGCGCATGAGGTCGACTTCACAAGAAGGATCACAGAATTGGAACGAAATGAAACTTTTAAACTCGTGGTTGTTAACAAATCGAAAATCATTGGACCGCAAGGCCCCCAAGGATTCGCTGGGGCTGTTGGCCCAAAAGGAAAAGATGGAAAAGATGGAAAAGACGGAAAACCGGGAGAAAAAGGCCCAGCCAACGTGTCATTGTGTCACTATTCAACCATCGAAAGTACCCCATTTACAGCTTCTGGGTCCGGTGAAGGGCAAAACGTCAGTGTCACAGAAGAACCAGGGTCTAAAATCATTGGAGCTACGTGCTCGACCGAAGGAGCATCAGAATATAATTTTATAACCAGAGTTAACTCTACGACTAAAGTTCGAGAGCTCGCATGTGAATGCAAAGGAAAGTCAAGTGTGTTTACAGCGGGAGTGGATGGAGCCAAATGTATCTTGAATTACTGGGTGTGCGCTTAGAAACTATAACATTCGATCTCAGAAGAAATGAAGGGTTTTTTTTGCTAAAATGGAAATGGTATAAATACCGAATTCCCAGGACATCATTATAAAATGTCTAAAAATATTCATGCCGCAATTCCCTGCGGCAAAAATCAATGTTGAAAAGATGCCAAAAAGACAAATTTGGTTTTGACCTTTTTTCGGTATTTTAAACATTGCGTGCAGCAGTTTTAAACTGAATGTATTCAGTTTCGAGGCGAATTGTGTCCTGAGAAAAAAAGAAACGATGCACGATAAGATAATAACTGTAACTGTTTAAGCACGTCTTTGCATTGCATCAGAACTTGAACAGGATTTTTAAATGATAAAAACGATGTTGTATGACACTAATGAACTCAACACCTAATTAATTAGGTGGGAATAAGACTTCAGTTCCTACAATTTGAACTGAAACAAGGTGATGTTGTTTCTTAATGATAAAATAGAACCTCCAGTAGATAGATAAAGTTTTCATTATTTTCTGGGTTTGAAAATTCAGTGAGTGATCCACCGAGCTTACATTTTTGCCCACGCTTCAGCAAATGTTTCTCACGTCTCCGAACCAACTCCCGAAATATTTTGACAGGGCTCAGAGGGTGGACGGATGATTTTCAGATCTACTAACTCAGCTGTTGCTAGTTATGGAGAAAGTCTATATGTAGTGTTCGTAGCAGTATTTTCGGAGTTGTACATGATCGAGGCACAGTGTACAGTCATCTGATAGCGGCCTTTTCACTTAAAATGAGCAAAGTACTTATGTAGGCGCTGACTGATGGGTTTTGTCCTTTCCGACAGCAAAACATTATTTTTACACCCGCTGACAGTAAAACGATTAACCCTGGAGTTTTCCTGCTCAGTTGTTGTCCGTATTTGGTTTGTTTGAAAGAAATCAACTCTCGACACGTCAGCTTTGTCTAAATATGGTGCTACGCATATTCTCCATACTGGGCCTAGTTGTTCGAAGGCACTGATTAGTGCTAACCCAAGGTTAAAATTTTATCCCGGTTTCTTTATTCCTTTGTTGGAAAGTCTTTCTCTAATAATTTTCTCTCTTCTTTGAAGGGCATCCAGTCATCAAATTGTAGACAAAAATAATTCTACTGAATTTTCTTTTAAAGCTTTCAGATCTTAAACTAGATTTCACACTAACCCTGGGTTATCTTAACCAAGCTCTGAACAACCAGGCCCTGTTCTCCAAATATTTGTTAAGACGCCGACGCGGAGAATTTGTCTAACAATCAAGAGCTTCTTTAGTCGTTGATCAGCTCCTTTATTCTCCTGACCTTAGTGTTTGATTCAGCGGTGATATGGTAAGGAGAATTTAGATGCCAGTCATTCTTAGGGGTTAAAGGGTTAATCAGCTATGAGTAAGTAATTTATCTTATCTCTCCTACGCAAATTAAAATCTGTTCTAGAAATACACAAAGTTATGTTCACTTTTCTAAACGACTGCCTTTATTTGTTTTTTAAATAGTCAGTTTTACCTACGTAGTTTCCCTTATGATCAGTTGTGCTAATCGAGGGGCGAAAAGCAAGTCAACATCTTACGACTCAATTATCCATCGATCAATCAACATTCTGTTTTTTCTCGTTAAGCTGCCGGGAAAAAGGCGACAGAAACATTACCTGTTCCTCCTCTCTTCTCTTGGTTTGATTTCACTCTGATTTTCTCCATTACCAACGCGAATAAAGGTACCTCCCTTTCAGTTACAAACAGGAAAGCGCTCAATTACTTGAGCCTTACAGTTTATGCCTAAGGAAGCCACCGATGGAAGTGAAAAGGCAATTCAAGAAAAAAACAAACAAACAAACAAACAAGAAATGATGGGGGAGGGGGAGGGGGGGGGGGCAGCAGAGAGGAAGGTTCCTAAGCATGACTATCTGACTCTCCGGGCTCCTATCTCTATCTCTGAGATAAGATTCTTGGTTTGATTTTAGTGGTCGGTATCTATCTGGGGTCTACCTAGAGCAGTCTTCTAATGGCTGGGTAAAGACCAATTTAAAGACCTGTGCAGGTGGGTGACCTGTGCATGGAAAGGGCATGCACAGGTCGCACGCCAAAAGCAACAAAAAAGCCGAGTACAAATCCTGACGAAAGACACTAACTTGAGTTCTTCTGTTAGAAATTTAGCCTGACAAACGGATAAGAGTGATGGACCTAACTGGCATGATATGAGGGTGTTGTCCCTAAGAGAATGTCTGCTATTGGTACAAAGCCTTCTTAGTCCTTTAAATCCGGCAGACCAAATATAGTTATGGTTATGGTGACACTTTTTCTCCTTAAAACTGGCGATCGCAATCACAAGAAAACAGTAATGGGAAGGTCAATGATGAAGTTAAACCCCCACAATTTCAAAATACGAATATGCGAGAAAGAAAGTTTCCAACAGCGTTTGTTTTTTATTATTTACAGAAAGCCTGTTCTTTCTGGCCACGACCATCATGACTTTATTATTATTTATTGCAACGCACCAAACATTACTAGTTTTTACTGTGACTGAAAAATGTTTGCTCGGTAAGACAAAAGAAACGCGGGAGAGGCGATAAGACACCAACAAGGAACAACTATGGCAAACTGGTGGTAGAGGGAATTGCAAAACGACTGATTGATAATTTTGGCTTCTGAAATCTTTGGAGAAGTACAATCCGTGACTGGGGAGAAATTACTCTTCTTCTCTGAGTCTTCTCTGAAAGGGAGGAAAACTTAGCGATTATGATGTTTGTCCGTCGAGGGCTTACGAGATCATCTAGTCATCGTAGCGATTAAGGTGGAGGGGGGGGATCTTCTGTCCTGCAAGCGCAGGGGGATTGCTAGCCCAATCCTAGCTGAAGATGGTAACTGCAACTAATGGCCTGCTTGCTCTTGCCCTGCCGGCCTGTCTATGCTGTCCTCCACTGCACTAGTTCTGGCTAATAAGCAGCCGCCCCTGTGTAGCGGGCGCAGCATAGTTCACTGTCAGCGGCTTCTCGTGAGGTTAACTTAATCAATTATTCAACGCCGGCAAGTGTCTTTCGGTTCCACGTTGACACATGCAGGACGATTATTCTACTACCAGACCCATTCCTTATCATGACCATCTTGTTTTCTTCCTGTAACGCATGATGCAATCGAGGGAATGGGATAGGGAACGAAGTCGAAACGATATCCAACAATTCGCTTTCTAGCTATTGCGGGCAGAGATAACGAAAACCATGATCTTCGATCGAACAGAATCCGTGATTTAAACTTTATTTTTTTTCTAATTTCAAGTTACGCATTTTAAAAAGTAATTCGCTTAGCGGAGTGTGGGGTGTATTTAATTTTAAGCACGTGTTTCCCAGAATTATGTCGATGAGTGAAATGACAAAGTCCACCGAATGAACTATGAATTTTCATTTAAGAGTTTCCGGTTTGATCCGCCAGCTGTCGCGATGGCATTGTTTTCAAACAAAATACCCCATTTAGGAAATATGAAATAAATGAAAGGACACTTTAATTCATGACTAAATATACATATAACACTTGACACCTGGCTAAACGAAAGTTTTTCCTTTCAAACGCGCCCTTCTAAGCCATGATCATGACCAAACGATTATTTTTGGCCCATTTTTTTTCAGTTCGGATTTTTTCTTATCGCTAGTTTCATTTATTAGCTTCTAAGAAAACCGTTCTGTTGAACATAAATGGTAATCAGGAATTGGACAAAAGAGAATCTTAATATTGTCTGGGTTTTGAATTATAATAATAATAATAATAATAATGATGATGATGATGATGATGATTTTTTAGGCTGTATTTCTTGGAAAATCCCAATAATTTGCGGGGAAATAGACAGTTCTAAGATTCTTTGATGTAACTGAAACGTGAGGGATGAAGCTTAGCAATGATTTCTTGGAATTTGGCGTGTAGCATGTATGGGAAGTTGTTCGACCACTACATTCCTGTCGGGGTTAACATGAAGCATTTATGATAAAAGAAAGCTTTGAACCGTGTTGCGACAGGTACATTATGATGTTCAACCAAAGTATATTAAATGAGTCAGCAAATCGGCGACCCAGTTTAATCATAAGCATTTCCAAAATTGATCAGAGAGTGTCATCAAACACTGTCACACACAGAGACGGAAATCGGAAAAGGCAAGAACGTGGGACACAGCAAGACAAAATAATCAAAACACGCCCGGGAAGTAAATACCCCACATGACAGCTTGAGTTTGAAATCCAAACTAATCAAGATGAGTTTGCCATCGCACAGCTCAGAGTCAAACATTCCGTCACGCCCATAAAGAGCATGATCATTCAACGTGTCTTTCGTTCTTTGAAGTGCTTGTCTGTGACATAATGCGAGCTGAAAATAGTCTTTCTGATCAGCCGAGTGTTGAGAATCTCTTTATAATAGTTACGTTTCAATCGTTAACGAGCTCCGGCCTACTAGGTGGGTTTCAAATAACATATGTATGTGTCAATCAGTCACCGCCAACGAAGTACCCTCAGTGTTTGGAAATCAGGATTTTCTATCACTTAAGTTTAAGACCACCTTGGGTGCGAAGAGAGTTTGTTGTGAAATTTTAGATGTAAGAGAAGTATGAGGTATTAACGCAACCAAAATAATTTACACTATGTACACAAAAAAGCGAACCCAGTGAGATTGTCATCCATTCTCGCTCAAAGTTTCCTAGAGTAGTGAAACACGCCTCTTACTGACCCTGACCATGGAATAATGATCCCAGTAATAATCATTGGCAAATCATTTAATTAAACGCCTCAGCTATTTAATCAAGATATCCGTCTATAACAGCTGCATGTCTTCATGATACCCTGATTAGACTATATGATTTGATAAATTCATTTGATAAAAGACCGTGAGCCAGAGTCTAATTTTAAGAACAGGCGCAAACCTTATACTTCACAGTCGAAAAGCCTGTTAAATTTTGTTGCATATTTTCATTCAAATTATGAACACTATGTGTCGGGCTCATCGTAAGCATTTCTACCAGCTTATTCACAGAATAGCAGGTCATTGATAAGTGACCATAACTCTCGCACGGCGATCGAGATGAGGCCGAAAGAGCTTATAAGGGTGTACAGAGAGATTGAGCGTGGTTTGTGGTTGTGTTTTTTTCCTGTTTTACTTTCTTCACAAAAGAAAAATTATCAGACAGGACATTTCTTCTGTATCGCTGAGAGTAGATGAGAAATACTCAGGAAACGTTTTCAAAGGACAATGCTTTGTCAAAGCACACAGAACAAATATTAGTCTTGCTGCCTAAAGAAATTACACAAAAACTTGACAATATATCCGAAAGAATTTCATGACATTGTCGTTACTTAATGAGACTCACGGGCGGGGCGTAAAATTTCAGACACAAAAGATCTCTTGTATTGATTGAAGTGCGTACTAAAAAGAAATCGGATTTTCACAACACTGTGTTCTAGCACGTTCAGAACTTAGAGGTTTTGCAATTTTGGTAAACAAAACAAATCACACTGTTGTCGTGTCATT